GTTATCATGGTGCTATAGAGTGTTAAATTTTCGAATGCGTTTTCTAACCTTAAAATGCCTTGTTAACCAAAATAAAAAAATACGTGTCTAATGTTTTTTGATGTACTATATGTGTGTGAAGTTTCAAGAAGATCGGCGTGTGGCACTTGATACAATAGATGGAGTAAGGAGTAGGAGTAGGAGTAAGACGAAATGAAAATAATTTATTTCGCTTAGACCCGATCTACAATAGATGGAGTAAGGAGTAGGAGTAGGAGTAAGACGAAATGAAAATAATTTATTTCGCTTAGACCCGATCTACAATAGATGGAGTAAGGAGTAGGAGTAGGAGTAAGACGAAATGAAAATAATTTATTTCGCTTAGACCCGATCTACAATAGATGGAGTAAGGAGTAGGAGTAGGAGTAAGAAATAGGCAGTAAGTAAACAGACCAATCACAATCGATTATTTTTGAATCGTGGGAATAGAATTGGTCAATTTGCTTATTTCTTACTCCTACTCCTTATTCCATCTACTGTAGATCGGGCCTTGTGAGTGATACTGCGAGCAGCGGTTGACGCGTGCTTATCTGAGCCGCGGAGTGGGGGGAGACGAGCCGGGCTACTATGTGCTGTCGCGCAAGATGACTGCGCAGTCGCGCTTCACATTCCGTTCACGCGCCGCGTCGCCGTCTTCAGTTCGCTACAGCGATACCGCCGGTGGATCGAGCGCGCCGATCGATACAAACGTCAATAACTTCACTCGTAGACGTCGTAGCGACTTGAAACAGAGATCATCGGAAAGAGAAAATTACCGCGTTTTCGATGCATGTGAAATCGTCCCTCCGCGAAGTAAGGATCAAGCGGCGATCATGTAAGTACGAAAGACATTAATTATCAATCCGTGTTAAAAGCCAGCGTGAAACCTCGGTTCAGATTCGTAACACGAAGCGATAGTTTTGTGCTTTTGACGGGTATAAAGCGTAATTTGCGAGGAAAGAGCGAGATTATAACAATGGGAATTTTTTGTCTAATAGAGAACACTTTTTGCCATAGCATTAAAGTTCACACAGTTAATAAATTTAATTTCAGTAGCAACAACAGTAGCTGTTTCAACATAACACATTTTAGCTTTCACAGCTGTATTTTAATTCCTGTGACTAATCTTTTTTCTGAGTGCGTTCTCGCGCTTTTTGCTGCGCCGAGAGAAACAACAGCGTGAATGATTACTGCGTTTTAGTTGCGGAATTGAGAGTCATTAAGCACCTAGATTTTACATTAAATACGTTGATTTTATATTCGCGATTTGGACAACGTAAAAAAGAGCTTAGAAAAGCTCAAGATATTCCACGGAATTAATATACAAGAATATAAAATTCTAACAGAACTCTTTCTCTCTTTTTCTTTCTTTCTCTTTCTCTCAAGTATGCATTTTATGAATTTTTATTCGAACTACTATTGTTATTTCGCGTCTGAAGTTAAGTTGATTAACTTTCTTTTTCTTTAGACATTTTTTCAAATTTGTTCAAAATTTGTATTTTGCTAAAGTGTTCTTGTATTTTTTAGTAATCTTTCGTAATAATTTATTATAATTAATTAGGATTAAACTGCGCTTGAGGAGAACCGTCTCAGAGAAACTTTCTCTCTCTCGTGAACGAGCAGTGAATGATAATACAAACATTTCGACTGTACGTGCGTTCTCGGTGCATTTTGTACAAAGTTTAGTTAACAAGCACTTTTGTTAAGGTAAAATTAAGTGCAAAATATACGAATTACTTATGCATGTATGCAAATTGAAAAGTCCACGATAGCAAATTGAATGAGCTTTATTTTCATTCGCGGCGCTAAGTCCGAAAGACGAGCTCGCTCGAAATAAAAGCGCCGTGAAATTTTACTGCGTTCAATATAATGCACCTTTTATTGGATCTTTTATTTACTGAACGTCCGTCCCATCGCATTTTGCGAGACGTCTCGCCCCACATCGCTCCGTTTTTAACGTTGCAATATCGTCGCAGGGCACGATGTGTTATTAACAACATTTAATATCTACCAATATCATTAGAGCTATATATTATGTCGCTGCACGGATATTCTTATCACGACGTGCGACCGCCGTGTGCATTTTCCAATCCCCGCTTTCCGACGCGGACTTGTGCGCAATATATTATGCGCGTTAATTCGCTGCGAGCGAGAAAAAAGGTGAAAGAAGGAAAGAGAACGAACGAATAAAAGAAAGAAAAAAAAATGGAAAGAGAAAGCGCCGTTGGTGCATGTTGCAACAGCGAGAATAATTAATTTATTGCCACTCGCGAAGCGTTTTCGCGGTAAATTTCAGCGTTTGTAAAACCGTCCAGGCCGTGCCGCGCCGTTGACAGGATGTCAACACTGAAATTTTTAATCTCGTCAGGCAACCGCGCCGAGCGAATGTTAATCGCGAGCGATTAAAACTGATGTAAAATTATCATCAGACCTTGTTTTTCTCGTCTCCCCCACGATTTGTGTATTTCGGATATTTAGGTCTGTGTTTCGTGCTTTCGATAAACGTCTAGTTCTTTAGTCGGTATTTTGTTCACATCAAGCGATATCCCGGAAGAATATTCGCGTCGCGTGTAAAACATCGATGACTTTAATTCCCTTTTGTCAAACACACACACACACACCCACACACTCACTCATATACACACATATACATTTAAACGCGATATACAGCGTAATGAAAAATTAATTATCGCGCTGTCATTCCAGGCGTCGCGTGTACGTCGCGGTTTATTCTCCGCGGAGAATTTTACCTTTCCTGCTTTTTTATCTCTCTCTCTCTCTCTCTCTCTCTCTCTCTCTCTCTCCTTTTTTTTGTAAACGCGACGTTGCGGCGCGAGATTAAACAAAACGAAATTACGATGGGGCAAAATTGTTGCGCGCTGCAGTTGGTTCGATGGCATTTGGTCGCCTGCGCGCAATATGTTTCACCATTAATTTCGCATGGCTTCTCCCTTCGTATTTCTGCATTATGCGCCGGTATTATGTGTATGTGTGTGTATTCGTAAGAAAAATCCGCAGCTAATTAAACGTCGCGCGCATTACGCCGGCACAAAGGCCTAAAATCCGCGAAATTCGCGGTTAAACTCGTGAAATCGTGTCCGCGTACGTGCGCAAAATGGAAACGGATTTTCACGGATAGGCGGAACAGAGGTGCACTTTATTTTTCCCATTGAAAAGCGCGATCTTCGTATCACGCGCGCACGAGATACGGGGGG